CAATATAGAAGACCCTAACCCTAAATTAATCGAAAAAATTATTAAATATAAGTTGCCTCCGCTTTAGACGTCCCCTAAAAAAGGGAGCAGAGCTGAATCACGTGACATACTACCAATCAAATTATAGAATTTTTTGATGATCGCCGGCGAAGCAAGAAATAAAAAGAAAAACCTGAAAAATACAGAAAACGGCAGTCTAAACCTACCTCGGGGGTGGGTTAATTAAAAATGTCGGGAGGTAATTTTGATTATATATAACCACATAAAACCTAACCTAGCTCTAATATAAGATAACCCTAATAAGAAACTATATTCCGCTTTAGATGTCTCCTAAAAAAAGGTTATTACCGGTTAATATAAGAGATCCAATATTAACTAATGAAAATCGGAAAACTTACTATATCATATTGACGTATGACAACATGTAATACATACGTATCAAATATGCCAGATTTATTCCAAAGTTGGGGATCGTCTAAAGCAAGGTAGTAATTTATATGCTTCACGTGACTTTTACATTACAAATTTATTAATCAACTTAAAAACTACCTTGCTTTAGACGATCCCCAAAGTTGGTAATGCATAATAAAATTTTACTGTATTTGTCATTATGCATATTATTATTTGATTTATTTGATTTATATGTATCAAAAATAAAATTTATATAAATATATACATTTGTTTAACATACTTTCCATTTCTTTCAGGTCTATGCGATTTTATATTATATATTTAAATACTAAAATTTGCTAACTTTTCTAATGTCAGTTTCTACAACCTATATGCGGTTAAATACCAAATGGACAAAACGATCAAATCGCGCAAGACGTTTAAAATGCTATTATTTATTCAGAACGTTATTTACTCTTGCTGTTTTATTTGGTATAATTTTCTTTATGGTCTGTGATCTCGAACTTGGTATTAGAGTTTATTGGAGAGATTGGATTTCACATGAAGAATTTAAACGTGAAAATTTAAGCAAATGTTTTGATAGCCTTTCTAATAATTCTGAACCATCAATCATTTATAATAACATTCTAACCACCTTACCTCTCACTTACGGCTGGGATTGTTACGATTTCGCCAAAAGTATAAAGTTGAAGTCTGGCCAACCTCGAGAATATATAATCTACCATGCTTACTGGCGTGCTGATCTACGACCTTTTTGTGACAAACAGATCGCTACCTTAAAATCTTTCTTTGCTACTCAAGATGCAAAATATTCTTCTCTCATTCTCTGGACTAATGGAAATATTTCGACTGTTCCTTCTCTTAAACCGTTGCTTGAGCGTTATTCCGATCGATTCACAATAAAGCATTATAATGCCGTGATAGAAAGCCAAGGAACTCCTATGGAAGGTTCTCCCAACCTTAAACTTAATGATAAGCAAGCTTACCTTGATGGTGACTTGACTAGACTCCTTGTTTTATACAAATATGGTGGAGTATGGTTTGACATGGATTCTCTTTTTATACGTGATTTTGCACCACTCATGGAGCACGAATGGCTTGGCCAATGGGATTGTTTTATGCCGAAAGGCTATCCTTTTAACGGTGCTTTTATGAGATTTCGAAAGAATTCTCCTTATTTATGTGAACTCCTTTCCGAAATGGCTAATGGACCAGTTCCTAGCAAATCTTCAATTGATTGGGGTGGGAGACTTTATTATAAAATTTTTAGGCGTTTAATTCAAAATGGAAAAAAACCGTTTGAAATAATTCCTTGGTGCTTTACTGATCCTCACCTATGTAATCCGTCAAACTCGATGCCTAGTGCATTTGATGAATCAGAATTTAATGAGGAAAGGTTATTACAAGTATTTGCTTTTCACTGGCACAATCAGTGGGATAAGAAAAAGGGAAGCTTATTTAGATTTCTGGAACAAAGAAACAATGAGATTCTGGGATTCTAAGACATTCATTAAATATAGTATAATTATAATAATAGATTTATTAATAATACACTTCGAACCGAAAAATTTGATAAACAAAACGACAATAATCATAACAGAGCAATATATAAAAAACTTTTATTACGGATCGTCAAGCGAGATTCGATAATAAAATTAAAAATATAGAAATTGATAATTTGTTGTAAATAAAATAAATATTTACATCAAACACATATAATAATATAGAAATTGATAATTTGTTGTAAATAAAATAAATATGATTAGATATTTACATCAAACCCATATAATAATAAACTTTAATATACATCAACATAATGTCAAAAGTACAGACATATATATATATTCAGTAAATAATTTAATTTAATCTAACGTAGTATAATCATTTTTTTTTCAGTAAATCCCATTTCTAGCAAAGCTTGTTCGACGGTAAATAACATATCAGGGGGACCACAAACAACAATCTTTCCTTGTATCAGATCATCACCTCTTCCACAATTGGCTAAATCTATATCAATGTTTTTAGATGATCTAAATTTTCTTGATGCTTGTGACCCTGGCCTAGGTCCCGTATAAATTGTACTGTCGTCACGATAATCATCATGAGATTGTGGCTGCATAGGTGGTGGTGATTGAGGGCTTATAATTGGCAAAGGACTCACGCTCGGCTCATTTGCGCCATGACGTACAGAATGACTCTGAAGAATACTCCTGTAATTATTATTTTCTGCTATCAACTGAGCGTTGTTTGATTCGAGGAGTACACCTTTCATTATGTTGATCCAATCATGTATGATTTTTTGATTAATTCTTCCTCGCAAACCCTCCCAATCTGAAGGTGGTTCTGAGAGACAGTACGTTACAGTAAGTTGTCCTCTACTTGAAAGTGAAAGATCTTCAAGTAATATACCATCGATAACATCTTCAATTTTACGGTTTCCAAATAATAAATGCATTCGTTTATAACTAATATATTGATCTTTTTGTTTAATTGACCGCTCCAAATAATACTTGATTAACTATTATATATTATAATCGGTGTTAAAAAATGATTGGTTGAATACTTAAAAGAACACTTGAGAGAATACTTAAGTGAATGGTTGAGAAAATATTTAATACTAATGTTAAATTACCTGTAACATTGGTGTTATCCCCGTACCACCTAAAAACATGAAGAAAGGTCATTAAGAAAACCGGCGATATTCGTTAATCAGAATTCAAAGGACTAAAATAAGTACCAGCAATCATATATAACTCGTCCCAGCAACCATCCGGACTATCCGGATTTAATAAAGTAGTCTTTGTTTCAGTAAATTTAGCGGAAGGTCTTGTGGGTAAAAGAATATTCGTTCCCTGACTTAATGGATTTGTTAATGTTGGTGCAACATATGGACTTGTTACTGTTACTGTAGGTGCAACATATGACCTTTGTCTATCACTAACATCAAATGGGCCACGTGCTTGAATTTCGTATCCTATCAACTGATTATTCTAAAGATGATAGCCATTATTATTATTATTATTATTATTATTAAGAGTTTAAAGAAATATTATTTAAAGGAAAAAAACGAGAATACTAAGATGCACATACCAAATGCTGTGAAAAGAGCCCCTTTGGATAAATTTTTACATAAATGGAAAATGACTTGGATAAACTACCTTCCAAAGGAGTGTAACTTCTAATCAAAATTTGACAATTTACTCTAGATTGCACTTCAATGTAATGTCCAGGCAAAAACTTTTCTGTGCTAACATCTTTCGCGCCTTGATGTACTTTGGAAAATGTAAATCTTATCACAGGATATTTCACATTTGTATTAACCATTTTTTTGCTTGTAAGCTTATAACGATGAAATTTGGTGATTTTTGGGGCACTAATCAATGCTTTATCAATTTCTACAGAATCATTTTCTGGATTTTGATAAATAGATTCATTACTCGGAACTAAAAGTCCTTTTTCGCTTATTTTTTCACTCATTTTCCCTATAACCAATGTTGCCATTTTCTGTGTGGCAAATCTACTATGAGTATGTTGTGCCAACGGTTTCCTTAAATAGAATTTTGTATTAATGTTGTCAATAAATTGGGCAGCTGAGAGTCTTTTTTGAGGTGCTGACTTTCCTTGAAGGTGTGTTACATATTTTGCAAGCGCAGATGACTGGTTTCCAGAAGGTGTATCCTTTGGAATCAATAAAGCTTTTGGACTGTCTATATCTTCAACAATTTCTTCGTTCTTGTGCGTATTGTAAAAGTCTATAATGAAAAAAGTATACGCATTCATTTCCTTAAACATGCTTTGGTATATTTAAACAATTTCTGTAGTAATTCTTACCATTCGTAATATCTGTTCCAATAACCTATAATCATAAATCGTAAAATTATAAGTATTGTAACTTAAGCATTAACTTATATAAACGGACCATTATATAATATTTACTTGTAATAATATTTGACTCCCTCCTATTATTAAATATTAGTGTTAGTTATAAAAATTTATGTGGAAAATGGATAGCTGAAAAAAGCTGACCTGGATGAGAATCACACCAAGTGTGGATATCTATCACAAGTCCATCACAAACTACCAATTGAGCCTAAACAATGAACGATTTATAGGTTAGTTATTTAAAACAAGAAAATAAACCATAATAATTTTGAAGGTAGCTAACTAGTCCTTTTCAATTTGGCTAATAGAGAACTTTTGAATCCACCACACGATAATATTGTAATTATATTGTATTAATTCATATTTACAATGCACCTACCCCACGTTGAACTCGTTCATTAATTTCTTCCCAAGTAAACTCGGGTAATTTAATATAATCTTGATGATTAATATGAGCATGCATCATCGTTTTTTTCTCGGCATTGGTCTCATCTTTTTTAATACGAAAGAATTTATTATCAAATTCTTCAAAATGCCACCAAAGTTCTCCAATTAGGAAAGCGCAAAGTATTACTAATATCCAACAACAGTAAGCAATTTTCCATCCAAGCGAATCACTAATTGCAATAAAAATTTCAAAGTCAGCAATGATAAATACGTAGAAAGTTATATTGGAAGTATCATACTTACTAGCCATAAGAGAGGCAATAAGTGTCAATTCCTAAAAATCGAACGTATAAACGATTAGTATAATATTAACTTTATAAATTATAATTTTAATATTATTATAATTACCAAGATATATATTAATCCTACAATTTTATATTGATATATATATAATATATATAAATATTAATGTATCTGAAAACTAATAAAAAAATCAAATGCAAGTGATTACAACAATATTTAATATTTTACCATGCAGACAATAATAACGCTATACCAAAACATTTATGAATGCGCTTTGTAAGCCTGGGATATCCCTAACAAAATGATTCAACACAGTTAGTCAATTATTAAACAAATATACGATGTCAAAAAATGTTAAAACAAACCTTATTAACTGATACTACAGACATTTGTCCCCATAAAGCAATTATACCAAGGCCTATGAAAATATTCATCAATTAAATTAATCAAAATACTGTAATTAAATTCAATTGTCAAGTTGTGTTCAACGAATAAGTACCTAATTCAATGAATGCCAAAGTATATATGAACAAACCCAGCCTAAAATTTTCCAATAGTTAATATAATGATAAAAGTACTGTACAAACAAAAATAAATATAATACCAAGCATGTGGCGTTTGTGTCGTAACCATAGTAGAAATAGCCGCAGCACCAAATGTTGAAACTGAAATACCACCCAACAATTGTATAAACCGATGAATTTTAAGGTGTTGATTATGATGCTATAAATAATAAATTTTTTACGTCAAATAACCATTTACAGGTTTAAATCGGTTTTATATGAAAAAAAAATTTTATATTTAAAGTTAATAAAATATATATACCTTCCAGTACCGAACAATAAAGATTGATATTGGAAATAAGATGCTAAAAATTATAACAAAGTTTATATCCGTCAGATAATTATATAGTAACAAAACATTATATGATATTGTAGTAACGAAAAGGATATTTTATTTACCACCATGTAAAGAACATTCCACAGCCATGAATTAGTCTAACCAATCTTTGAAGATTAAGAGTAGTTGCAGTACTAACTTGGCTATTATAAAAATTCACTTTATTCAAAATGCGATTATTTTGGTGATAAGAGAATGCATTGCTATTTGGATTATATGCCATGATAACTATATTAATAATAATAATTATTATAATAATAATAATAATAATTGATAATTTAGTTTCAACATTATAAAATCAAGGCAACATACTATAAAAGTAACGAAAAATAAAAATTTTAATATCCCACATTTCATATCACCATGAATAATTGGTTTTTTTCCTGGTGGATTGAGGAGTCTTTTGAACTCTACTGTCACAGCTTTTGAATCAGACATGGAAAATTTTGGTACGAGAGTAGGATCTTGATTAGAATCTCGAAGGGGAGGATGGTAACCACCTACATCAGCATGGTAATTTCCTAATGTGACATTCCCATTAGTAACCTGTTTATAGAACAATATAAAAAGTATTTAGATAATAAGCCACCCTCGCAAAATACAAATGGTATATTCTAAAGGACCTACAATTCCAATGATAAATTCAGCACCTTTCATTCCATCATCATCTGGACCAAACCCCTGTAATATAGTAATATAATTAGCAAACCAAAATAAACCTGATTTAAAAAGGTAACTTATTAACATACAATAAACTTACCATTCCAAACCAACCATTACCATCAGAAGTTTGTAGTTGAACCTTGAAATATATATAGGTCAAATCAACCCTATAACTAATAATATATTGAGTCCAAACATTAATCTTGCTTGGATAATTATTATCATCACTACTGTTAAGTTTTATTTGAGGTTGGACGGCCCAAATATTTTGAGGGAAGGTTACATTTGGATTGATGTTACGAGTGATGATATTTCGGAGTGTTGTATTTCGTATAATTTTTCGTTCTTCAGCAGTAAACATATTAGGTTTCTCGAACCAAAAATTATCAGAATCTCTAATATACGTATACTTTAAAAAAAATTTTTTTTTAATGCAACCGAATAATCCGAGAAAATTTACAAACGAAACATATAACAATGATCACCTGCATCACCATACTCGCATTCATAACCTTGCCAAAGTTTGAACCATTTAAATGATCTTCACTCATCACACCAACCCACGCCTCTACGGTCTCGATTCCTAAAGTGAATGCATAATTTGTCAGCTAATGTATATATCAACTAATCCACTAATAGTATATTCAACTAAATAGTCATTAACCAATCGACTAATCTCATCAATTAATAGTCATCAACTAATAGTAATCAATTATAGTCATTAGTTCATCAACTAACCACTAGTAATTGTGACGGATTAAAATAAAATCAGATTAAAATGAAATGGGAGATAGTATAAAATAGGCAAACCACCGAACAATGCAAAATTTTGGGTGCATTTTTTAGTATTTTTTTTAAGGTTAGGATTAGGGTTTAGGGGTAGGTTTTATAATAAACAAGTATAAGTGGGTTTTAGAGGGACAAATAGAAACCCCTCGTTTCATTTTAATCCGATTTCATTATGATCCGCGACAATAATTATCAACTAATAATATAGCGACTAATTTTAAAACACAAAAATCATAATTATATTCACCATTTGGATAAATTTTAGCCAAGTTTGCTTGAATGGTAGGATTGGAGGAAATGTCAGCAAACGACTGAGCACTAGGAAAACCAAAATATTGTCTAACCACATTATATAAAGGAATGCCTATTATAACATAACAAGGTTTTTTTTTTAAAAAAAAAAAAAAAAAGACAAATAAAAAATACTATATAAAACGAAATTCAAATGAAATTAAAATGAAAAGATAAATGTTTTACCACGATCTCTACTTCTTAGAACGTCAAAAGCAGCTAAATCGTAGGTATGGTGATCAGGAGCATTAATATTTTTAGTCGAATCTGCAAAAAAGACATCAACTTCTTCCTGACGTTGAAGAATCATAGACCAAAGTACTCTTTCTAAACCAAGGCTCTCCAAGAGTGTGAGATTTTTAATATTATTTAAAGCTAAATTATAAAGAGTATCACCATATTCATCTTGAATTCGGTAAAAATCACTAAATAAATTCAAGAGGATTCTATTAGATACTTTAAGGGAGAAAAAAATAGAGTTGAATAATATCAACCTTAATTCACTATGACCGTATCGAAATGTAACAGTTGAAAAGAAAGTGTCAACACCTGTTTTAATAAAAATGTAAAGTTAGAAATAAAAGGTTAACAACGGAGTGGCTTATCATATAATTTCTAACCTGGCATAAGATCAGGATTATAGCTTTGGTAAGCAGGTAAAGGACTACCAAGAATAGCACCAATATATTCCTCAGCAACAGCTTTTTGATAGAAAGCAATAGTCCAACGCCTCCAAAAAATTCTGATGGTTCCTATATTTGGGGTTCGACTTCGGAACGTTCATATAGTATATTTACTTTGGCTATTCAAACAATCTGGATACGTGAACATAACCGTTTATGTGATGAATTATATCAATTACATGGTAGTTCCTGGACTGACGAACAATATTTTCAGGAAGCTGTGGGTCTTCGATATTATCTGTTTTATTTAACTCCATTTTTTTGTTTGTTAATTTTATTAAATTAGTTTGTTGTTATTCAATTAATTTTTTAGAGGCGTTGGACTATTGCTTTCTATCAAAAAGCTGTTGCTGAGGAATATATTGGTGCTATTCTTGGTAGTCCTTTACCTGCTTACCAAAGCTATAATCCTGATCTTATGCCAGGTTAGAAATTATATGATAAGCCACTCCGTTGTTAACCTTTTATTTCTAACTTTACATTTTTATTAAAACAGGTGTTGACACTTTCTTTTCAACTGTTACATTTCGATACGGTCATAGTGAATTAAGGTTGATATTATTCAACTCTATTTTTTTCTCCCTTAAAGTATCTAATAGAATCCTCTTGAATTTATTTAGTGATTTTTACCGAATTCAAGATGAATATGGTGATACTCTTTATAATTTAGCTTTAAATAATATTAAAAATCTCACACTCTTGGAGAGCCTTGGTTTAGAAAGAGTACTTTGGTCTATGATTCTTCAACGTCAGGAAGAAGTTGATGTCTTTTTTGCAGATTCGACTAAAAATATTAATGCTCCTGATCACCATACCTACGATTTAGCTGCTTTTGACGTTCTAAGAAGTAGAGATCGTGGTAAAACATTTATCTTTTCATTTTAATTTCATTTGAATTTCGTTTTATATAGTATTTTTTATTTGTCTTTTTTTTTTTTTTTTTAAAAAAAAAACCTTGTTATGTTATAATAGGCATTCCTTTATATAATGTGGTTAGACAATATTTTGGTTTTCCTAGTGCTCAGTCGTTTGCTGACATTTCCTCCAATCCTACCATTCAAGCAAACTTGGCTAAAATTTATCCAAATGGTGAATATAATTATGATTTTTGTGTTTTAAAATTAGTCGCTATATTATTAGTTGATAATTATTGTCGCGGATCATAATGAAATCGGATTAAAATGAAACGAGGGGTTTCTATTTGTCCCTCTAAAACCCACTTATACTTGTTTATTATAAAACCTACCCCTAAACCCTAATCCTAACCTTAAAAAAAATACTAAAAAATGCACCCAAAATTTTGCATTGTTCGGTGGTTTGCCTATTTTATACTATCTCCCATTTCATTTTAATCTGATTTTATTTTAATCCGTCACAATTACTAGTGGTTAGTTGATGAACTAATGACTATAATTGATTACTATTAGTTGATGACTATTAATTGATGAGATTAGTCGATTGGTTAATGACTATTTAGTTGAATATACTATTAGTGGATTAGTTGATATATACATTAGCTGACAAATTATGCATTCACTTTAGGAATCGAGACCGTAGAGGCGTGGGTTGGTGTGATGAGTGAAGATCATTTAAATGGTTCAAACTTTGGCAAGGTTATGAATGCGAGTATGGTGATGCAGGTGATCATTGTTATATGTTTCGTTTGTAAATTTTCTCGGATTATTCGGTTGCATTAAAAAAAAATTTTTTTTAAAGTATACGTATATTAGAGATTCTGATAATTTTTGGTTCGAGAAACCTAATATGTTTACTGCTGAAGAACGAAAAATTATACGAAATACAACACTCCGAAATATCATCACTCGTAACATCAATCCAAATGTAACCTTCCCTCAAAATATTTGGGCCGTCCAACCTCAAATAAAACTTAACAGTAGTGATGATAATAATTATCCAAGCAAGATTAATGTTTGGACTCAATATATTATTAGTTATAGGGTTGATTTGACCTATATATATTTCAAGGTTCAACTACAAACTTCTGATGGTAATGGTTGGTTTGGAATGGTAAGTTTATTGTATGTTAATAAGTTACCTTTTTAAATCAGGTTTATTTTGGTTTGCTAATTATATTACTATATTACAGGGGTTTGGTCCAGATGATGATGGAATGAAAGGTGCTGAATTTATCATTGGAATTGTAGGTCCTTTAGAATATACCATTTGTATTTTGCGAGGGTGGCTTATTATCTAAATACTTTTTATATTGTTCTATAAACAGGTTACTAATGGGAATGTCACATTAGGAAATTACCATGCTGATGTAGGTGGTTACCATCCTCCCCTTCGAGATTCTAATCAAGATCCTACTCTCGTACCAAAATTTTCCATGTCTGATTCAAAAGCTGTGACAGTAGAGTTCAAAAGACTCCTCAATCCACCAGGAAAAAAACCAATTATTCATGGTGATATGAAATGTGGGATATTAAAATTTTTATTTTTCGTTACTTTTATAGTATGTTGCCTTGATTTTATAATGTTGAAACTAAATTATCAATTATTATTATTATTATTATAATAATTATTATTATTAATATAGTTATCATGGCATATAATCCAAATAGCAATGCATTCTCTTATCACCAAAATAATCGCATTTTGAATAAAGTGAATTTTTATAATAGCCAAGTTAGTACTGCAACTACTCTTAATCTTCAAAGATTGGTTAGACTAATTCATGGCTGTGGAATGTTCTTTACATGGTGGTAAATAAAATATCCTTTTCGTTACTACAATATCATATAATGTTTTGTTACTATATAATTATCTGACGGATATAAACTTTGTTATAATTTTTAGCATCTTATTTCCAATATCAATCTTTATTGTTCGGTACTGGAAGGTATATATATTTTATTAACTTTAAATATAAAATTTTTTTTTCATATAAAACCGATTTAAACCTGTAAATGGTTATTTGACGTAAAAAATTTATTATTTATAGCATCATAATCAACACCTTAAAATTCATCGGTTTATACAATTGTTGGGTGGTATTTCAGTTTCAACATTTGGTGCTGCGGCTATTTCTACTATGGTTACGACACAAACGCCACATGCTTGGTATTATATTTATTTTTGTTTGTACAGTACTTTTATCATTATATTAACTATTGGAAAATTTTAGGCTGGGTTTGTTCATATATACTTTGGCATTCATTGAATTAGGTACTTATTCGTTGAACACAACTTGACAATTGAATTTAATTACAGTATTTTGATTAATTTAATTGATGAATATTTTCATAGGCCTTGGTATAATTGCTTTATGGGGACAAATGTCTGTAGTATCAGTTAATAAGGTTTGTTTTAACATTTTTTGACATCGTATATTTGTTTAATAATTGACTAACTGTGTTGAATCATTTTGTTAGGGATATCCCAGGCTTACAAAGCGCATTCATAAATGTTTTGGTATAGCGTTATTATTGTCTGCATGGTAAAATATTAAATATTGTTGTAATCACTTGCATTTGATTTTTTTATTAGTTTTCAGATACATTAATATTTATATATATTATATATATATCAATATAAAATTGTAGGATTAATATATATCTTGGTAATTATAATAATATTAAAATTATAATTTATAAAGTTAATATTATACTAATCGTTTATACGTTCGATTTTTAGGAATTGACACTTATTGCCTCTCTTATGGCTAGTAAGTATGATACTTCCAATATAACTTTCTACGTATTTATCATTGCTGACTTTGAAATTTTTATTGCAATTAGTGATTCGCTTGGATGGAAAATTGCTTACTGTTGTTGGATATTAGTAATACTTTGCGCTTTCCTAATTGGAGAACTTTGGTGGCATTTTGAAGAATTTGATAATAAATTCTTTCGTATTAAAAAAGATGAGACCAATGCCGAGAAAAAAACGATGATGCATGCTCATATTAATCATCAAGATTATATTAAATTACCCGAGTTTACTTGGGAAGAAATTAATGAACGAGTTCAACGTGGGGTAGGTGCATTGTAAATATGAATTAATACAATATAATTACAATATTATCGTGTGGTGGATTCAAAAGTTCTCTATTAGCCAAATTGAAAAGGACTAGTTAGCTACCTTCAAAATTATTATGGTTTATTTTCTTGTTTTAAATAACTAACCTATAAATCGTTCATTGTTTAGGCTCAATTGGTAGTTTGTGATGGACTTGTGATAGATATCCACACTTGGTGTGATTCTCATCCAGGTCAGCTTTTTTCAGCTATCCATTTTCCACATAAATTTTTATAACTAACACTAATATTTAATAATAGGAGGGAGTCAAATATTATTACAAGTAAATATTATATAATGGTCCGTTTATATAAGTTAATGCTTAAGTTACAATACTTATAATTTTACGATTTATGATTATAGGTTATTGGAACAGATATTACGAATGGTAAGAATTACTACAGAAATTGTTTAAATATACCAAAGCATGTTTAAGGAAATGAATGCGTATACTTTTTTCATTATAGACTTTTACAATACGCACAAGAACGAAGAAATTGTTGAAGATATAGACAGTCCAAAAGCTTTATTGATTCCAAAGGATACACCTTCTGGAAACCAGTCATCTGCGCTTGCAAAATATGTAACACACCTTCAAGGAAAGTCAGCACCTCAAAAAAGACTCTCAGCTGCCCAATTTATTGACAACATTAATACAAAATTCTATTTAAGGAAACCGTTGGCACAACATACTCATAGTAGATTTGCCACACAGAAAATGGCAACATTGGTTATAGGGAAAATGAGTGAAAAAATAAGCGAAAAAGGACTTTTAGTTCCGAGTAATGAATCTATTTATCAAAATCCAGAAAATGATTCTGTAGAAATTGATAAAGCATTGATTAGTGCCCCAAAAATCACCAAATTTCATCGTTATAAGCTTACAAGCAAAAAAATGGTTAATACAAATGTGAAATATCCTGTGATAAGATTTACATTTTCCAAAGTACATCAAGGCGCGAAAGATGTTAGCACAGAAAAGTTTTTGCCTGGACATTACATTGAAGTGCAATCTAGAGTAAATTGTCAAATTTTGATTAGAAGTTACACTCCTTTGGAAGGTAGTTTATCCAAGTCATTTTCCATTTATGTAAAAATTTATCCAAAGGGGCTCTTTTCACAGCATTTGGTATGTGCATCTTAGTATTCTCGTTTTTTTCCTTTAAATAATATTTCTTTAAACTCTTAATAATAATAATAATAATAATAATAATGGCTATCATCTTTAGAATAATCAGTTGATAGGATACGAAATTCAAGCACGTGGCCCATTTGATGTTAGTGATAGACAAAGGTCATATGTTGCACCTACAGTAACAGTAACAAGTCCATATGTTGCACCAACATTAACAAATCCATTAAGTCAGGGAACGAATATTCTTTTACCCACAAGACCTTCCGCTAAATTTACTGAAACAAAGACTACTTTATTAAATCCGGATAGTCCGGATGGTTGCTGGGACGAGTTATATATGATTGCTGGTACTTATTTTAGTCCTTTGAATTCTGATTAACGAATATCGCCGGTTTTCTTAATGACCTTTCTTCATGTTTTTAGGTGGTACGGGGATAACACCAATGTTACAGGTAATTTAACATTAGTATTAAATATTTTCTCAACCATTCACTTAAGTATTCTCTCAAGTGTTCTTTTAAGTATTCAACCAATCATTTTTTAACACCGATTATAATATATAATAGTTAATCAAGTATTATTTGGAGCGGTCAATTAAACAAAAAGATCAATATATTAGTTATAAACGAATGCATTTATTATTTGGAAACCGTAAAATTGAAGATGTTATCGATGGTATATTACTTGAAGATCTTTCACTTTCAAGTAGAGGACAACTTACTGTAACGTACTGTCTCTCAGAACCACCTTCAGATTGGGAGGGTTTGCGAGGAAGAATTAATCAAAAAATCATACATGATTGGATCAACATAATGAAAGGTGTACTCCTCGAATCAAACAACGCTCAGTTGATAGCAGAAAATAATAATTACAGGAGTATTCTTCAGAGTCATTCTGTACGTCATGGCGCAAATGAGCCGAGCGTGAGTCCTTTGCCAATTATAAGCCCTCAATCACCACCACCTATGCAGCCACAATCTCATGATGATTATCGTGACGACAGTACAATTTATACGGGACCTAGGCCAGGGTCACAAGCATCAAGAAAATTTAGATCATCTAAAAACATTGATATAGATTTAGCCAATTGTGGAAGAGGTGATGATCTGATACAAGGAAAGATTGTTGTTTGTGGTCCCCCTGATATGTTATTTACCGTCGAACAAGCTTTGCTAGAAATGGGATTTACTGAAAAAAAAATGATTATACTACGTTAGATTAAATTAAATTATTTACTGAATATATATATATGTCTGTACTTTTGACATTATGTTGATGTATATTAAAGTTTATTATTATATGGGTTTGATGTAAATATCTAATCATATTTATTTTATTTACAACAAATTATCAATTTCTATATTATTATATGTGTTTGATGTAAATATTTATTTTATTTACAACAAATTATCAATTTCTATATTTTTAATTTTATTATCGAATCTCGCTTGACGATCCGTAATAAAAGTTTTTTATATATTGCTCTGTTATGATTATTGTCGTTTTGTTTATCAAATTTTTCGGTTCGAAGTGTATTATTAATAAATCTATTATTATAATTATACTATATTTAATGAATGTCTTAGAATCCCAGAATCTCATTGTTTCTTTGTTCCAGAAATCTAAATAAGCTTCCCTTTTTCTTATCCCACTGATTGTGCCAGTGAAAAGCAAATACTTGTAATAACCTTTCCTCATTAAATTCTGATTCATCAAATGCACTAGGCATCGAGTTTGACGGATTACATAGGTGAGGATCAGTAAAGCACCAAGGAATTATTTCAAACGGTTTTTTTCCATTTTGAATTAAACGCCTAAAAATTTTATAATAAAGTCTCCCACCCCAATCAATTGAAGATTTGCTAGGAACTGGTCCATTAGCCATTTCGGAAAGGAGTTCACATAAATAAGGAGAATTCTTTCGAAATCTCATAAAAGCACCGTTAAAAGGATAGCCTTTCGGCATAAAACAATCCCATTGGCCAAGCCATTCGTGCTCCATGAGTGGTGCAAAATCACGTATAAAAAGAGAATCCATGTCAAACCATACTCCACCATATTTGTATAAAACAAGGAGTCTAGTCAAGTCACCATCAAGGTAAGCTTGCTTATCATTAAGTTTAAGGTTGGGAGAACCTTCCATAGGAGTTCCTTGGCTTTCTATCACGGCATTATAATGCTTTATTGTGAATCGATCGGAATAACGCTCAAGCAACGGTTTAAGAGAAGGAACAGTCGAAATATTTCCATTAGTCCAGAGAATGAGAGAAGAATATTTTGCATCTTGAGTAGCAAAGAAAGATTTTAAGGTAGCGATCTGTTTGTCACAAAAAGGTCGTAGATCAGCACGCCAGTAAGCATGGTAGATTATATATTCTCGAGGTTGGCCAGACTTCAACTTTATACTTTTGGCGAAATCGTAACAATCCCAGCCGTAAGTGAGAGGTAAGGTGGTTAGAATGTTATTATAAATGATTGATGGTTCAGAATTATTAGAAAGGCTATCAAAACATTTGCTTAAATTTTCACGTTTAAATTCTTCATGTGAAATCCAATCTCTCCAATAAACTCTAATACCAAGTTCGAGATCACAGACCATAAAGAAAATTATACCAAATAAAACAGCAAGAGTAAATAACGTTCTGAATAAATAATAGCATTTTAAACGTCTTGCGCGATTTGATCGTTTTGTCCATTTGGTATTTAACCGCATATAGGTTGTAGAAACTGACATTAGAAAAGTTAGCAAATTTTAGTATTTAAATATATAATATAAAATCGCATAGACCTGAAAGAAATGGAAAGTATGTTAAACAAATGTATATATTTATATAAATTTTATTTTTGATACATATAAATCAAATAAATCAAATAATAATATGCATAATGACAAATACAGTAAAATTTTATTATGCATTACCAACTTTGGGGATCGTCTAAAGCAAGGTAGTTTTTAAGTTGATTAATAAATTTGTAATGTAAAAGTCACGTGAAGCATATAAATTACTACCTTGCTTTAGACGATCCCCAACTTTGGAATAAATCTGGCATATTTGATACGTATGTATTACATGTTGTCATACGTCAATATGATATAGTAAGTTTTCCGATTTTCATTAGTTAATATTGGATCTCTTATATTAACCGGTAATAACCTTTTTTTAGGAGACATCTAAAGCGGAATATAGTTTCTTATTAGGGTTATCTTATATTAGAGCTAGGTTAGGTTTTATGTGGTTATATATAATCAAAATTACCTCCCGACATTTTTAATTAACCCACCCCCGAGGTAGGTTTAGACTGCCGTTTTCTGTATTTTTCAGGTTTTTCTTTTTATTTCTTGCTTCGCCGGCGATCATCAAAAAATTCTATAATTTGATTGGTAGTATGTCACGTGATTCAGCTCTGCTCCCTTTTTTAGGGGACGTCTAAAGCGGAGGCAACTTATATTTAATAATTTTTTCGATTAATTTAGGGTTAGGGTCTTCTATATTG